TGCGGGTGGTGGGCCCACCTGGGGACAGTCCCGCGTGCCTCTTTTGGGCTATGCCCAGCCGGGCCCCATGGGCCAAGGCCCGGCCACCAGGCGCTCGTCAACGGGCCCCTCCCCCAGGCCTGGCTCCAGGGTGGGGCCCGGGTGACCCTAGTCCGGGCGAGGGAAACGGGACTTCGTTTGAATACCTTATCATAGGGTTCTTTTGGATTGCTCTTTGTCTGGGCTATTTCCCCCAGGGTCACTGAGGTACGTAAACCCTTCCACCACGATAAGGTGACAATCCAAGGAGGGGCAATTAAAAAATTAAAAATCTATAAAAAAAATTAATTCAGCTTTAGCAATATGATGATGGATCCACCTTATTTATTAAAAAGTATCGGTATCGTTATCGGCAATACTTGCCCTGTATTTACTTGAATATCGGATCGATACCAAATCTTGTACCAAATCTCTCGCACACCACTAACGTTTCGTAAATCCAAATTGGAAACATCAAACTTGTGGCAGGCAAAGCAAAAGCTGGCATCACGGACAACTGAATACTCAAGCCATGGTTGAGACTAATACCAGCTTGCACTAAAGCATCTGAGAGTCTGTCCGAATGGGTGCTTGGGATAATTAGTTAGAATGGGCTGGGATGGGCTATCCATATTTAAGTAGGGAGGAACGTGCACACCAGAGTTTGAGGAGGAGGACTGTATATTTTGTTGAAAGCAGAGGTTTGCAGTACCAAACACGAGCGCAGAGCTAGAGGATGATATAGGCCTATCAAGATTTGTGGTGGAGGATGTACAGTTGCAGTCCCTGACATGAATGCAAAGGCACTCTGCTCCATGTTGGTAGCAGCGGTGCTGGACTCAGCAGTGGACTCATAAGCTTTTGCTGTGGCAGGGGTTGACGGTGTTTGCTTTTTAATGAGCCACCTATGCATTGCTTTTGTTGGTGTTACCTAACCAGTTAATAAAACTGTTTGTACCAGAACGATTGTGTACCTTTTTACAAGACAGCAGCATTGACTAGACTAGCAATTGAACGAGCTAGCAGCCAATCCAGTAACTAGCAGGCAAGCACAAGCAGCCTGCTCTAACTGGCCAACTTAGCTGACAATTAATGTGATTTTTAACGAATCAAGTAAATGCTCAGATGAAATGTGCAAGCTCAACTGACACTACAGGACTATTAGAAAATGTATAAGAACTAGGGAATGAGATGAGAAAGGAACAAGAATCAAAGTGTTGCTTTGTTTTAATTTGATTAAAGAAGGCTGCCAAAAAACTCAATCTTTACTGCTTTGGCGTAAAGTGAACTGTGTGTGCACATGGTGCTTTCCTAGGTGAGCGGAGGAGGCAGTAACTGACATGCCTCTACATAAACAGGCCAACTGGAAAGCAGTGCAGTTTTGACGATTGTTCTGTAACCTGAAGGAGAATATACAGACCCCCTGAAGAGTAAGGTGGGGAAAAAACATAAAAGCCATGTGTAAACTTTGCAGATAGATGGCTTTTATTATTCCCATCTGAATCTTGAGGGGCACCGTGAGAATACAAGACAACACTGGAGTAGTGATATGTCGGCTGCGTCGTGAACAAACAGACTCTTTGAGCTGGCTCTTTGAAGTGAACGATCAGAGCCTGCCTGGGAGCACTGTTGCCAACTCCTCAGCAAGGAAAGTAGCTGTTCGCTGTCCCAAAAGTCGCTAGGGAAGCCCAGCACCCCATATGGAAAAAGACCAGAAAGAGTACAAATGTGTTTCATTGATTATTCGAAGGCATTCTATGTTCTCGAGCACAATAAGTTCTGGACCTGCCTGAATGAAACTGGTACACCAGCACACCTGACTGAGCTCATAATATCAGGATCAAGGATCAAGAAGTCACAGTCTGAACACCATATGGAGATAAAGATTGGTTCAAGATTGGAAAGGGTACAAGCCAAGGATGCATCCTGTCAACAATATTTTTCAACATGTACGCACTAGTTGTTTTGCGGCGAGCAGGCCTGGGTGAATTCAAGACTGACGTGAAAATAGGTGACAGAAATATCAGCATCTTCAGATACACTAATGATACCACCTTCCTGTCTGAAAACAAGAATAATCCGATCATGAAAGTCAAAGAAAGTGAAAATGTCAGACTGCCCCTGAATGCAAATGACAACAGCAAAAACCATGAATGACAAACTTAAGATCAACAATAAAGAAACTGAAGTGCTTAAAGATTTCATTTTTTTTTACTCCAAAATTGATCAGGATGGCAGCTGCACCCCTGAGAGCAAGAGACGGCTGGCACTTGGAAGAATGCAGTGGTTAGAATGAATAACATATGGAAAAGCAAAGACATTAGTCTGGCAACCAAAGGTAGACTGGTGAGTGTGATTATTTTCCCAATAGCAACATTTTCTATTTTCCCCATAGAAACCTGGACACTGAGAAAGGCAGACAGGCGAGGGATCGATGCATTTGAATTGTGGTGTTGGAAACATCTGCTACATGTTACGTGGACTGAAGAAGGACGTCATGTTTGGAATGGTTAGTGGCAATTGAGGAAGAAGATGCCCAAGAACTCGCTGGTTAAACACCATCAAGGAAAATACTGGACTGAACATAGCAAAACTGAAAGAAGTCATGATAGATTGGAAGACATGTAAAGCCTTGATCCACAGAGTGGCTGAGAAGCATACTAGACTGAACTGATAATGATGAGATGTGGAGATGTATGGCACATAGGTAACAAAATAAGGAAAATCAGATCATGGTTTTCCAGAAACTAATCAGGTCACTAAGAAAAGTCTTCATCAGACACAACCATAAGTGGGTAGGGAAAAGTGCAATTCACAGCTAGCATGCAACTAATCCCAGAGGGCTGATAGGTCCTTGCTATGTAGTGCTGCTGAAGGTAAATGGCCATCCTTGAAAAGCTTTACTGGATAGTGGATACCAAGCCACTATCATTTTTGAAACTTTGCATTGAGTGCATCTCTCTGATGTTCCCATGGTGTGCATGAGTCGTGTTACCCCTACATGTTGTATTTACAATGTTGTAGTTAACATTGTTTATATGGCGTTAAATTAGTGCCAAAACTCACACGCATAAAAACCACAAGCACGTATGCCCTCGTGAGCAGAAAATCCATGCTCTCTACGCACTCGCGTTTGCACAGCACTCGCTCGTTTGTTCGCTCGGCATTAAATTAGTGCCAAAAGTCAAACCGTGTGCGTGCGCGCGCTCGCGAGCTGAAAACCCATCCTCTCTACGTGCTCGCGTTCGCTGGACCCTATCTACGAGGGGTGTGCATTGTTCCCTTTAGTCCACTGATCAAAGCACACTCCACTAGATGTGCCTGTCTTGTCTAGTTTTAAAGTTACTAACCCATTCATGTATTGTCCCATTGCACATTATACGGATACATTCGAACATTAAGAAATTAATTAAAATTCGTGCGTAAAGTAATATGGGAAACAAAGGGGTGTGCAACAGTCGCCATGAGCCCAAAATGCTAAACGACCATGTCATTACAGATATTAACACAATTTTGCACAAATCACGAAATGGTTTGAAGCGCAAACATAATCGGTGTGCATTGTTATCTATGTACTGGACATCACGATTCTGTCATTAAAAACACCCCACCTTACTTCCATTAAAAGTTATTAAAGCCAAAAAACTGAATATTGAATAACCGCGGTCAGTAACAAGTTATCTTCATCTTCTACCAAAGCAAATAGCTAATCGTAGTCAATATTTTAAAAAACCAATCAAAGGAGTGGAGATATTAGCCACTGTTCCCGCCTCCAAAGTGTCAAAATTCATCCTGTCGAGCGAGCGCTGTTGGCACATGTCTCTTGAGGTATACGAGCCCAAACAGTTCCAGTTCATCCAGATTGTGTGGTTTTCAAGCATGGACATTGACCTTGAAAACCCACCACAGATTCTCAATGGGATTGAGATCTGGACTCTGTGAGGGCCACTCCAGGACCCTGATTTTGATGTCCTTCAAAGATTTGTGACCAACTTGGAGGTATGCTTTGGGTCATTGTCTTACTGAAAGACCCAGCAGCGACCTAAAGCAAGACTTATGTAAAGTTCAATGTTGATTGATTACTCAGGTGTGGTGTGAAAGTTCAGGTGTGGTTTTAAAGCTAACTGAATGGTCAGGTTTGTCTTGAAAGGGAAAAAAACACAGGGGGGCTAATATTTTTGGCCTTGTCATTTTTCTGTTTTCTAGTTATAATTCAGCACAGCAATAGAAAATCAATCAATCTTTGTGGAGACTTTGTCTTTGCTCTTTGTGAAGCAATACAAGTAACAGTTTTTGTTATGGTAATTTAAATGGAAATATTAAGGGTTTTGTGTGATTTCATTAGGGGGGGCTAATAATTTTGACCTTAAGTGCAAATGAGTCACATGTACATCATGCAAATGTCTGTTACAGACAACTTTGGTCATACTGCAAAAGAGATGTAAACAGAATATAAATATTTAAACATAAACTATATAAATAATGTATATGAGTAGTTCAAACAAGGATATTAACACATGGATGAAGGATTATATGTAACCACCTAACTGGTCAGAAAGACTCTGCAAATTGTTATATAAGTGGAAAGTACAATAAGTATACTTCCAAATCTACATATCACAACAAGGACTCACAGCATCCAGGTAAAATACGTTTATTAACCTTCATATTTCCACCTGACCCATCCAGTACTTCTACAAATTGTGCAAGTTAGTGAGTGGAAGATGAGTATGGATTACATGGGCGGACCAAGTGACAGGACTGTCCAGGGAATAAATATAGTTTAATTAGTCTTTTTCATTACGTTTTCGGCTTGGTACATTGAAAGTGTTATACAATTATACTTTTAGTAACCTAACATTAGCTACCTTGCATGACAAATTTCTTGCAACTTGAAAACCCTCCAGATAATGAGAGACTTGTTAGAAATGCTACTCAAGTAAAGTAAAAAACACGGTAATTTTAAAACATTTTACTTAGCCGTTTTTTTTTTTTTTTGCCATCATGCTTGACGTTGCTTGCTGTTTTTCTGTCGCTGCTTTTCACCAGCTGCAGTGACTTGACTACCTGCCTTACCTACGAAAAATGTGCTTCATTTTGTATTCCTCCTGCTCCTGGTGCACAAAAAGTTTACCCCACATATATTTATTTCAGATCCAAGGGAAAGACACTGTGCCAGATATCTACAGGCAGGCAGTGCTTACCTGAAAGCCGTCACTTATGTTGAGGGTTGCACAGTGAGGGCATGCCAGGCCCACACCTTCAAAAAGACAATATTGACACAGGAGGAGTACTGTGAACCTGGAGAGGGGGATGAGAAGCTCACTCCTTCTCCTGTTCAGGCTCCTGCCAGACGCCACACAGCAAGCTCCCTGACGATCACACGGCATTGAGACAGCCCGCAGGACACCATGGCCTCAATCGGGCAGATCATCTTCTGGGGGTCTGTATCACCTTTGGCTGCAAATTCAAATGATGATGTCACTTTTTGGTTTACTGTACAATGGGTTGCAAGTTCATTTCTCCCTGTTTGGTAGACTTAATAATTGAGTAAAAGGAGAAGATAAAATAAGAAGGTGGTTAATGGTTGCATCTAGCATAAAAATGTTGAATTTTATTGCATATTATCTGTAGATAATTAAAACCAATCACAAGCACCGATTATACCTTTTGGTAGTTAGGTTAAAGTCAGTGTTTCAATGACTTGATAATATTGCATAAATTAGTAAAGTAAATGTTTATGTGGGTATTACTGTGTATCAGATAAACCCACACTCTACATGTATATCCATTATGGAACTGAAACTTTTCGTGTTTGTTACACAAAGTTACTTATAATTTTACTTTCAGCATCATCATCTTAATATTCATAGTTGGTGGGTTCATCATCCTCCTGTTGTCCATTGCATTTACACGTAAGTATTTTAAAGTTCATTCAGGATTTCCATGATTAGCTGGTTTTACAAATGGACCTAAATTAAAATGTCATCAATTTAATCCAACTTATTCCATTGATGTGAGGATATCTTTACTATTGCACGATAGAATAATCAAGTTTTACTGCCCCCAGTCTGAAATAACCCCTTTCACAGGGTTGGTTAGGACACACAGTCAAGCACTGTTTGAGCATTTGAGAGTACGGGGTAACAAACTTGTGATTGGTTCACCTAGACAGAATTTTAAAATTACTGCTGTTAAGCATAAAGCCGACAGAAAGAAAACAACGGGGGAGAGAACTGTGACAGTGGTCTTACACCTCCAGGGTTGTGGTTTCGATTTCTGACCTTTCTATGTATGACGAGCCAAAAACCTGCCATTATGTAAGACTGTATCCATTGTGTGTGTGGAAATGTGTCTGTGTGTCCCCTCCCACCCTGTCCAGGTTGTCCCCTACTCTGTGTCCCATGCTTCCTTATGTTATAGAGAAAGGTGGCAGGTGTAAAGAATTCAGTTTTTTATTTTAATTAACATTTTGTTGATACTGAGGTTTGTCTTATTACCTCACTGATATCGAAAACACAATTCAAAATCCTTGCCAAAACTTTTCCTACATAAGGGTATCACTGCTGTATTACATAGGGCAAAGGGTTAAAGAAGCATGCTAATTCATATGTGATATGATTAACTTGGTCTTCATGAGGTCTTTAATATTAAATAAATACAGATGCAGTTCTAGAAGAGCTGTTTATGCCTAGCCCAGTTCTGAATCTGGAGAGGTGATTCTTCAGCCAGCTGTGTTTTGCCATCAGGCTACCAGTCCATTGTGGAAAGCAAAGACACATTCCCTGTAGGAAACATCACGCAGGACATCATTTTGGACTGCACCTTCGACCCATCAAGCGTAAATGGGAAATTGGCGGTTGACGCCACTATCACCTGGACAAAAGATGGGCTGGGTGGGGTGGTGTACCTCTACCAAGACAGAGCGGCCCAACTGCAGAACCAGAACCTACAGTTCAGGAACAGGGCAGAGCTGTTCCAAAATGCCATTGCCGTTGGCAATGCCTCCCTGCTACTGCGCAACATCACGGTGGAAGACCCTGGCACTTACCGCTGTGGTGTGAGCGCCCCCAGCGGACATGGAACTGTCAGTATACAACTGAGAGTAGCTGGTGAGAGCCCTGTCTTCTTTCTTGTGTACACATGTACATGTTTTTCAGTGCCACATTAAACTGCCAATCAAATGTAATACACATTGTCACAATGTGGCCTTAGAGCAGATTTTATAGGGAAAAAACAGTATTTAAAAATAAACAAATCAGAAAACAAATAGAATTTAGATTTGAGAGCAATTCTCCACTACTTATAATGTGGTTTCTGAAAGAAATTCAGGTTGACTGAAAGGCGTCTTTTCACATATTTCATCTTGCTCTCCTTTGAGACATACATACACACATATACAGTTGAAAGGGAAGTCTGGGGTCCAGGCACACCTGGAGCATTCTGTGGGATGAAGGACCCACTGAGGATGAAACTATTCTGCTGAAGGTGGGGCTTAAGCCAGCAATATTCTGACCACAGGCACAGAGGCATAACCTGTTGATCCACCCCCCCCCCCACCACCCCTCCCCCACCATGGGCATGGGATCCAGAACAACAGTGTATACAGATGACTAAAGTAAATCACTGTCAAATAGAAATGTAGTTATATGTTTACATCCTCTAAACTTATACTTTAGCTGTAAGATCATGTGACTTGTTCTTTCATTTTAGCATACTCTGCCCCCAGCTTCACTGAGACGAACAACAGCATTTTAACTGCTGTGGCAAACACATGGTTTCCTGAACCAAATGTCACCTGGTCAGACCATGCCGGGAACATACTAAACGGCAATACCAGCCTCTTCACAAACTATAATAGGATCTCCCGTGTGCTGAGCAGGCTGGAGCAGCCGGTTCTCCTGAATGAAACGTATACCTTCCTCATCCAGAATAACCTGGTCAAATCTGTGTCCAGTGCAACAATCACAGGTAAACAAAGTACTGCAATGGCAGCTGTCATTATAGCAACAGGTCCAAACACAATGGCAGTGGTAGAAAGAGGTCGCTAAAATTTGCTAACAGACAAAAAAAGTATAGATGCACCTTTCCTACACAATCAATAAAATAATTTTCTAGGTGACAGTCAGTAAGTCTTGCTTCCCTTTGGTCTACAGGAACAGGAGTATTGGAGACAACGTCCTTCACCTTTAGCACGTCGCCAATGCTGCTGCCTAAGTGGCTGAGTCTCCTTATCTCTCTCCATCCCTGGCTGTGCTGGCGGCTCTAACAAACACAGAACCAAACGTTACTGCCTGTTCAGTACTCTGCTGTCTGTTCCATTGAAAATGGTGACAAAATCACTGAGCTTGCCTGAATATAGAAAAAAACAGAACAAAGGGAATCACTGGATCACTTGTTGAAAACAAAGCCAAACACCAAATTGCAAAATGAGATTATGCTCTTTACTCACAATAGTAAAAGCAAAAGAGGTAGACACACTGCCTATTCCTGAAGAACGGCAGTTCTTCAGGAATAGGCAGTGCAGTGGTTACCTCTGCATTGTTTCTTCAGTATGAACCTGCGACATCAAGGTCTTAACCATGAGAACTCTATGGTCTAATGTAAGTGCAACATATGTAGTGCGTTAGCCTGTCATATATACTTTTTATTATTATTTGCTGTCATTTCTATAAAGGATTATGGGTAATTGTACAATTATGTTAATAATGGAATAATGGAAAATCTTAGTTGAAACCAGTAGACCTGGCAGGACCACATTTACTTATCTGGGGGCCCTAAGCAGACATCATCATGGACATTCAGGTTTTGCTGATGTAATGAACCGTTCCATCTTTAGTCATTAGTCCACTTTTGCGAAGTGGTCTGGGTTGTCATAAACAAGTCTGCTAAATTTCTGGTATTTCCACTATGGTGCAGTCTTTGCTTTGCCTTAATCTTAAGTGTATAAAGTAGGGTTGCCAACTTTGGTCAGCAGGCTAGAGTGACATTTTCAATTTGAAACAAGTCTGCACCCACATTTACATGTAAGCAAACCATTTGATTACCTTGTAAATCGTCTGTAGGGTTTACAAGCTACCCCAGCACTTTTGATGTAGCTAATTTTAGGTTTGTAATGGATTAATATCGATATGCTGTAAAAATTCTTGTGTGAGTGTGAGAATCTCACAGCCACATGGGCGAGAGTGTGCTTCCCCAAAAAATAAGAACATGGCAGCTTATCCAGTCCTCAGGGTTGCCAACTCTGACGCACCTGGCGTGACACTCATGCTTTCTGACTCTCACACTTACACAAGCAATCTTATGGAAAATATATATTATTCCATTATAAGCCTAAAAGCATTGGGGTGGTCGGCAAACCCTACAGACTAATTGAAAGGTATTAAAACTGTTACATGCATGTAAATGCGTGCAGACTTGTTCTGAAATAAAAATCTCAAGCCAGCCAGTATACCAAAGTTGGTAACCCTAAGTTCTACAATTAAAAATGTTTTGGAACATGTATACAAATGGAAAATAAAGCTGATCAAAGTACATTTTATATATTTTTACCTTTAAATATATGTAGGCCGAATATATATGCACTTGTCCCGTCCCCCGCATATGAACAGGGCGAAATCGCCGAGAAGGGAGCGGGTGGGGGCGGCACGGGAATACGGACCACCTTCCGCGTTTAGTAAAAATAGCTCCACTTCCAGAATTTGGGCGAAGGCCCTGCTGTTTCCTGACCCAAGTTTGGTGAAAAAGTTAATCGGAATACGAAAAGCAAAAAACAGGAAAACGTGGCGATCGCTCAGGTTTGGCTCCAGATGTGTAAATATGACAGAAGCGACGCTGAGTCGCCTGTGTGTTAAATGTTCGGTTTCTCGGGACACCGAAGCAGATTAATGTGGGTTTTTCGGAGACCGATGTCGCTTTGTTTGGAATTGGTTGCTTTTTTCGTCAGGTCCCGCTGCTGCGTTATATATTCGCCCTTTTGTGCACGGTGAATATTTCTTGCGGTGAATGCCAGACACAGAAAATGTCAGTGATTAGTGAGAAGCCCTTCCCGGCGCAGAAAGCCGACATACTGCCGGATACGGGCTGCGGCGTCCAGCAGAAGCACGCCGCGGCGGACGGGGATGTCGCCTTTACGGGCTCCAAGGCAGTGTGCCGAGTCTGTAAGCACTTCTATCGCGACCCCAAAATTTTGCCGTGTTTGCACACGTTTTGCGCCGAGTGCATACGCCAGCTAGAGCCCTTCTCCGTACTCGGCATTAACGGTAAAAGTATTTTCCCCGAAGAGTCGTACCTCCGCGACCAGCACACCGTCACCGTGCTGTGCCCCGAGTGTGACTCCGAGGTGGACCTGCCACCCTCTGGGGTGGATGCCCTACCCACCGATCATCTGGCCCTCGACGAGGTTTTTTTGGAGTCTCTGCTGAAGGAAGACTGCGAGCTAGTGTGTGACCTGTGCGGCGAGGGCGACGCCGAAAGCCGCTGCGAATTGTGCTGCGCCAATCTCTGTGAATTCTGCTGCCAGGCGCACAGGTATTATCATCATCATCGTCATTATTATTAACAATATTGTAATGTTTATTTGAGACTGACTTGATGTTTCAACATAATCCCGATATGACGCTTTGGGTGATTAGATAAGTGTGTTATGTAGCATATTTGCATGACAGTGGAAAGGCCACTTAATTATTAGTACACCTGCAGATGCTGAAATGCATCATAGGGATTTGTGAAGCGGTATTTATTCACTTGGTCTGTTTGGGGCTGCTGGTGATTTAGCAGCTGGATTTTTGACTGAGGTTGTTGGTTCGGATCCTGCAAATGATGCTGCTTAATCTTCCGCAGTCTATGGTCTAACCACCATTTCTGGCATTTTGCTTCCAGAAGGCAGAAGAAGACCTTATCTCACTGGGTGGAGCGGCTTCAGGACCTGAAGGCCCGGGGCCACGTCCCACAGGTGGCGCTGTGCCGCCTGCACCCTGGCGAGCGGTTGCAGCTTTTCTGTGAGCAGTGTGACACCGTGGTTTGCCGGGAGTGTGCCTCAGCTAACCACTGGGGGCATCAGTGCAGCCCCACCCAAGAGGCAGCCAGCCGCTCCGCAGAACACATCCGGCAGCTGGCAGGAAGCATGCAGCCGCACCTCGGCCGGCTAGAGGAGGCGCTGAAGTGGGTGGATGACTCCCAGCATTCCCTGCAGACACAGGTGGATGCAGTGGCACAGGAGGTGCGGGCTTTCGCCCGAGGCTATGCCCGTGCCATTGAGACCCACTGTCTCGTGTTGCTACAACGACTAGAGGATGTGCGTCTGCAGCGACGAAATGTACTCCACCTGCAGGGGGCGCAGCTGAGACAAGCGCTGGCCGACACAAGGGGTGCAGTGAATTTTGCAGAACGGCTGCTGGAATGTGGATCCGATGTGGGTGTGCTGAGTGCCTGCATGGTGACGGTGTGCAGGCTGGAGAGGCTGGCAGAGGCAAATGGGAGTGAGCCTCTGTGTGTGTCAGCTGCTGACAGCAGCAGCATTTGCTTCTTGCCCCAGGAGAGCGGAGGGCAGGTGGCAGGTTACCCTGTGGTGGGGGTCATCCATGCGAAGACTGTAGATCCCAGCAAGTGTGTCATCCAGGGTGAAGGTGAGGCTAATACCAGTCATGCTTATGGTTTGTCAGTATTCTTCAGCAGGCTGGTACCACCTTGATGCTGCTGCAGGGCAGAGTTATTGGCCCTGCTTACACTCTTTGTACACTCAGTATTAGCGGTCAATAGTTCTGACCACAGTGCATCATGGGAAATGTACAGACTGGCTGCAGTGGCACCTGGTATCAGAATTCCACTGCTGGCTTTTTGTGAGTATCTCTCCCTGTTGTCCTGTAGTGTTTTTGAGGTAGGTGCAGTTTAAATGTTTTGCTGGTCTCTGGGTTTCTCATACCTCGCATCTCCATGGTTTGGGGTTCGAGTCTCATCTCCATTCTGTATGGGTGTAGTCTGCATCTGGCGTGGTGTGTGGCTCTGTGGCTTAGGGCATTGTGCTTGTGATTGGAAGCTGCCTGGTTCAGATCCATGGTTTCACTCATTGGATCCAGAGCAAGCCCCTCAAACAGGATCCAGGGATTGTCTGACCCTGCTTCCTCAGTTGTATGTCGCTTTGGATCAAAACTAAATAAATAAATGTAAATGCCAGTCTAGACCTCAGGAGGTGGAGCTGCTGGACTGTTTAACCTAATGTTTACCTGGGGCACCGACAAAGAGTTCCTATTTCCTGGAAGGATATCAGCTAGAAGACCTGCTAGTCAGGCTTAACAGGTGTTTAATGTTTGTTTCTGCCAGCATAGTAAAGCAAACAGTGTTTCAATTCCTTGAGACTAAAACAGTAGAAAAGCGAAGTTCCATAAAAACCTGTAAATCACTTGCAAACTGTAAGTGTCCCCTCTGCAGGTTCAATGCAGACTTCTCACATATATCATGTTTGTATACAGCAGAAATAAAGCTGGGCAGCACAGCGGCTCAGGGGGGTTAGAGGATCAGATCCCATTCCCACCCTGTTTGTGTAAAGTTGGCACGTGTGGGTTTCTTGACACAGTCCAAAACCATGATGGAATTGGATGACTGGGTGCCCTGTGCTTCCTGGGATCGGTCCCAGACTTCCTTTGACCCTCTACTGTAAAAGCAGTAAAGAAAGGTAGAAGATGCAGATATTAATGGAATTACTCCTTATCTTTATTACAAGAAACCTAATTGTTAAAGGTATTGTTCCATTGACGTGGTGGTGGATTTTTTCAATGCAAGCTGCGCTTGAGTGCTGGACTCCTCATCCAGAAGGACACCAGCTTTTCTGGCCCGTTATGTGGCAGGTGTTGGGTATGTCAGTGTTACGGGCAGGGGTAGTGTAATGTAGGCTAACCATGTGACCTGTCTCCAGGCCATCAGTGTGGCTGGGAAGGCCAGCGCGGCGAGTTCACCCTGCTCTGCAGGGATACAGCCGGGGAGACCATGGGCCGGGGTGGAGACACAGTGCTGGTCAGCATCGTCCACAAGGAGAGGAGAACCTGGTGAGTTTCTCCACACATCGAGAGCTGACCAGCATCTGCAGGAGTTGGCCCTGCTCCATTAGTTTGATCTGCACTGATGTGCTCTTTAAGTGCAAAGAAGGTATTTACTACCAGTGTGACTGTTTCTTGTTCCTTTATAGCTGTGTTTACTTTGTGTTCATCATTTGGTTCATAGTGTAATGGATACTGTTCTTTTAACCAAAATCCAAAAACTTGGAAAAGTGGTTAAAATTTTTATACTAGTCAGTTTGGTACTGACTGCAATACATGGAGACCCTCATATTTTCTTTGCTGTCATTGTTTTGAATCCCTGGTTGTCCTTCTCAGCATGGTGGAAGCCAAGGTGGTAGATAATGGCGACGGATCCTACGGTGTGTCCTACACACCCTTGAAGCCTGGCTCCTACTCTGCGTGGATCTGTGTCAAAGCTCAACACGTTAAGGTATCTTGTGCTGGGCTTGGAGTGAGTCAGCGTTCAATGTTCTTAATGACGATCTGTCAGATATGCTGCTCCAGACCAACGTTCAGTATTTCTGTCATTATGTATTTCTTCTACTATCCTTGTGAAAGAGGAACATACACTCACCTAAAGGATTATTAGGAACACCATACTAATACAGTGTTTGACCCCCTTTCGCCTTCAGAACTGCCTTAATTCTACGTGGCATTGATTCAACAAGGTGCTGAAAGCAT